CATCTGAAACTTTTTACATTACAATCCTCGGAATGAGATTCGTTGGTGAAATTCAGGGGTAGGATACTAAGACTAACTGTCAACGATTACGTCATCGACAACAGGAGACCACAACGGGGCGAACAAAGCCCGAATCCAGGAGAATCTTAAACACTAAAGCATAGAAATACACAAACGAAAACAAACTACTCCCCTTYGAATAAATCGGTAAATTAGCAGAGAAATAGCCTAAGACCATGAGTTAAGATTGAAGCAAATCCTTAATTTTAAAAACAACACAAATCTAGGCCTAGAAGAATCACCTACACGAATAACTATCGAAACTCCTCCTTGCCATGATAAAAACACGGGTCCGACGCTACCTATCCCTCTTATACCTGCTCCGGCGAAGCCGAGCCATCCGAGGCGGCACATACGAACAGACCCGGGACTAAACCGAATCCCTTGAGAAGATTGGAAGGATGGATTAATCTACGGTGGTGGAGACCTCCAAGACCAAAGCAGAGAGTGAACCCTTTAAGAAATCTGCCTTTGTCGAAAAGAGCCGACCAGATCTGATACAACAACTGAATAACAAGCACGCAAAGGAGCCAACTACTCATGATTAAGGAACAAAAAAAAGCTTCAAACTTAACCCACAAACCCTAAACCAAAACCGGCAAAAAAACCAGATCTGCATCGAAGAAGGGTAGAAACCCAGACTAAACCGTTAAAGACCACCGTAAACTACATCGCCTTACCGATCTGTTCTCGTCCTCTAAGGATTCGCCGGATTCATCTGACAAAATCAGATAGAGAGAACATGTCGACAAAGGAAAATAAAGCCAAAACCACGGTAGATTTGAAAGCAAGAGAAGTGAAAACGAAATCAAAGCAAAGGAAAATATCACAGTTCCGGCGCTAGAGGAGCCGTCGGAGCTGCAGATCGGAAAATCGACTTGAGATCTAGAGAGAAAAGAGAGTGTTTTTTACTTCCTCTCTCTGTCGCTGTTTGTTTTTTACTTTAGGGGACTTTCATTATAAGAAAAAAAAGTAGTAATATAATATTGTATGGACATTTTTGAATAAATAATTTTGGGAAGAGAAAAAAGAAAATCCAACTTCCCAAAATTATTTATTCAAAAATGTCCATATAATATTATATTATTACTTACTTTTTGAATATTTTTGTAGAAACCCTCTTAAGAACAATGGATGGAGATGGTCAAAACATTTTTTAGGGT